AAATTCATACAGTTTAGTATGGTTTAGTAAGTTTCAGCAGGCAGATTGTCAGGGTAAGATGGATTGTTATATATATACTTACATATATAACAATATGTATATTTATATACTTATTTATTTTAGCAGCGATAGGGTCTCCCTATGTTGCCAGGCTGGTTTCAGACTCCTGAGCTCAAGCAATCCTCCTGCCTTGGCTTCCTAAAGTGCTCACATTGCAGGTGCGAGCGACCACACCTGGCCTATAAGGGGAATTTAAGGGACTCTCTACTATGATGTCCCTTCTCCCAGTCCCTTTCCCCATGTAGAAGAGGGTTCTGCTGAGTGACTGGCATTTGCTTATATTTCTCAGTGCTATGCACCGTGTAATGGAAAATGCACAGACTGGCTCAAGAGCCCAGGGATTTCAGTTCCAGGCCAAGCTCATCCACTGACTGAGTCAGTCAAACCTCTTTGGATTTCAGATTCTTCATCTGATTAACATAGATAACACTTATCCCATAGTACACTGCAAAGATGACATGTGATGGTGAACAAGTTAGTTTCCCTTTAAATATTAAGAATTAGGCCAGGTGCAGTGGCTCACACCTGTAACCCCAACACTTTGGGAGGCTGAGGCGAGTGGATCATAAGGTCAGGAGTTCGAGACCAGCCTGGCCAATATGGTGAAACCCCGTCTCTACTAAAAATACAAAAATTAGCTGGGTGTGGTGGTGGGCACCTGTAATCCCAGCTACTTGGGAGGCTGAGGCAAGAGAGTCACTTGAACCCTGGGAGGCGGAGGTTGCAGTGAGCATAATCACACCACTGCACTCTAGCGCCTGGGTGACAGAGTGAGACTTGGTTTCAAAAAAAAAAGAAAAAAAGAAAAAAGAATGAGATTGGAGAGGGCCTTCATTCCTCCTAGAAATATGGATTTCACTGTCGCCTACCGCACAGGGCCTTCACCATCTCTGCCGTCTGGAGAATTTATTCCCATCGGGAATCTCCCACCTGGCAGTTGGACCATGCTAGTAGCCTGTCCATTTCCTGCAGAGAAAAGAGAGAGTTATTGGTAATACATGCATATATATAAAACAAGTGATAATATTTGGATCGTATACAATACTCATGATGGTATAACAAAACAAACGTGGAGGCTTAAAAATCTGGCTTTAAATTCCTTTTGTGTTTTGTTTGGCTTCACATTCTTGTTCTGTCACTTAATTTGATGGGAAACCTTAGACAAATTACTTAATCTGAGAATCAATTCCTTTTCTTTTTTCTTTTTGTTGTGACAGGATATCACTCGGTTACCCAGGCTGTAGTGCAGTGGCACAGTCTTGGCTCAGTGTAACCTCTGCCCCCGTGGGCTCAAGCAATCCTCCCACCTCAGCCTCCTAAGTAGCTGGGACCACAAGTGTGCACCACCATGCCTGGCTAATTTTTGTATTTTTTGTAGAGATGGGGTTTTGTTATGTTACCCAGGCTGGTCTCAAACTCCTGGGATCAAGTGATCCTTCCACCTCAGCCTCCCACAGTGCTGGGATTATAGGTATGAGCCAACACGCCTGGCTGAGATTCAATTTGTTCATCTGAAAAATGGGGATATCTATGGACAACTGTAGCTTGTTCATAAAAGAAAAAAAAATAAGTAACACGGAACCAGGTGCAATGGCTCAGAGACAGGGTGCAGAGGCTAAGGCAGGAGGATTGCTTGAGCCCAGGAGTTCAAGGTTGCAATGAGCTATGATCATGTCACTGCACTCCAGCCTGGGTGACAGAGTAAGACCCTGTCTCAAAAAATAAAAAATAAAAAGATAGAAATAAAATAGCATGGGTGAAATGTTGAGCACACGATAGATTTGCACTTACCTTTCTTCCTCTACACAAACCCTTGCCCCAGCTAGGCGAATTTAGACACTCTACCCTAAAATACATTTAGCACTTTCTACCCATCCTTCTGCTCATGCTGTTTCTCTGCCTCTTCCTCTCCACTTACTGAACTCTTATCAGTTCTTAGTGATTCTCACCATTATATGCTCCAGAAGGGAAGTATATAATACATATATTTTTGACAGTATATCCCTGGCCCCTGCCATAAATGCGCAATGATTATCACCAAATAGTTAAATGAGCACCTTTAGACTTGTTTGAATGCCTAGAAAAATGATAGAATTAAAAAGGACTGGCCCGGCATGGTGGCTCACGTCTTGGAATCCCAGCACTTTGGGAGGCCGAGGCGGGCAGATCACCCGAGTGCAAGAGTTAGAGACCAGCTTGGCCAACATGGCGAAAACCCGTCTCTACTAAAAATACAATAATTAGCCAGGCGTGGTGTCAGGTGCCTGTAATCCCAGGTACTCAGGAGGCTGAGGCAGGAGAATCGCTTGAATCCGAGAGGCGGAGGTTGCAGTGAGCCAAGATCATGCCACTGCATTCCAGCCTGGGTGACAAGAGCAAGACTCCGTCTCAAAAAAGAAAAAGAAAAAAAAATTAGGCATGATGGTGCACACCAGTAATCCCAGCTACTGGGGAGGCTGAGGCAGGAGAATCACTTGAATCTGGGAGGTTGTAGTGAGCCAAGATTGTGCCGCTGCACTCCAGCTTGGGGGACAGAGTAAGACTCTGTATCAAATGAAAAAATAAAAAAGGGTCTTTGCTTCAGCCCCCTTATTCCACAGGAGGAAACCAAGACTCAAAAAAGAACTATGACTTAAAATGCTGGTTAGCAGGAGACAAGACTAGATTCGGGTCTCTTTACCATGTTGTTTCCAACAGGCCACACTAACTCAGCTTGATGCACCACTTCACAGTGTCTTTCCAAGAAAGGATGTCTAAGCACTGTAACTTCTTTCAAGGCAGAGTCCTGGTCTTTTGATGTTCCTCAAGATCCTGTCTTTGGCTTTCTTATCCTGACACATTCACACTTATTTCATCCTTTTTTTTTTTTTTTCTTTGAGGCAGAGCCTCACTCTGTTGCCCAAGCTGGAGTGCAGTGGCAAGATCTCGGCTCACTGCAACCTCTGCCTCCCAGGTTGAAGCAACTCTCCTGTCTCAGCCTCCTTAGTAGCTAAGATTACAGGTACGTGCCACCACGCCCCGCTAATTATTTGTATTTTTAGTAGAGATGGGGTTTCACCATATTGGCCAGGCTGGTCTTGAACTCCTGACCTCGTAATCTGCCCACCTTGGCCTCTCAAAATGCTGAGGATTACAGGGGTGAGCATCGCGCCCGGCCTATTTTCAGTTTCTTCAACAAATATATCTCAAGGGGAAAAAAACGGATCATCCTGGTGTGGTGTCTCAGGCCTGTAATCCCAGCACTTTGGGAAGCTGAGGCAGGGATTGCTTGAGGCCGCAGTGAGCTATGATGGTACCACTGCACTCCAGCCTGGGCAACACTGTGAGACCTTGCCCCCTGCCCCACCAAAAAAACAAATAAATGAGTAAGTAGGGAAATAATCAGATTGAATCAGAATTAAGAACATACAATTGCGGCTGGGCACGGTGGCTCAAGCCTGTAATCCCAGGACTTTGGGAGGCTGAGACGGGCGGATCACGAGGTCAGGAGATCGAGACCATCCTGGCTACACGGTGAAACCCCGTCTCTACTAAAAAAAATACAAAAAAATAGCCGGGCGAGGTGGCGGGCACCTGTAGTCCCAGATACTCGGGAGGCTGAGGCAGGAGAATGGCATAAACCCGGGAGGCGGAGCTTGCAGTGGGCTGAGATCCAGCCACTGCACTCCAGCCTGGGCGACAGAGCGAGACTCCGTCTCAAAAAAAAAAAAAAAAAAAAACATACAATTGCAATGTATGAGATTTTGTCCCTAATTCAGCCAGCAAACATTAAAAACCCTTTATGAGATGATAGATGAATTTGAACAGACTGGATATATTATTAAGCAGCACTGTCAGTTTTTTAGGTGAGAAACGGTAATTATTTTTTCATCTAGCTGAAGGTTTAGAATAAAATGGGATACGTCTGGACCCACTTCAAAATGGCTCTAGGAGACGGGGAGAGTACGATTCCGCAGGAGCAGGACTGGCCACAAACTGGCAGCTTTTTAAGCTGGCCGACAAGTACATGGCGGCGGTGGGGGTCATTCCTTGTTACATTCTCCTCTTTCCCTTTTTTTTTTTTTGCGATGAAGTCTCGCTCTGTCTCCCAGGCTGGAGTGCAGTAGCACAATCTCGGCTCACTGCAACCTCCACCCCCTGGCTTCAAGTGATTCTCCTGTCTCAGCCTCCTGAGTAGCTGGAATTACAGGCCTGTGCCACCATGCCCGGCTAATTTTTTGTATTTTTGTGGAGATGGGGTTTCACCATGTTGGCCAGGCTGGTCTTCAACTCCTGACCTCAAGTGATCCACCCGCCTTGGCCTCCCGAAGTGCTGGAATTATAGGCGAAAGCCACTGCGCCTGGCCTCTCATTCCTTTTTATAGGTTTGAAAGATTCCAGAGCAAGTTGAAAGCACAAGGCAGTGAGGCACCAGGCGCACCGAAAGCGACCTCCCCAGCCAGCCGCTGCAGGTGCATCCCGGAAGCGGGCAGAGGGGCCTCAGGCTCAATCCCGCCAGGGTGGAGGGCCCCATCCCCTTTCCCAGTTCTCCCCGGGTGACCAGCGGTTCAATGACTTAGCTTGAGCCAGGCACCAACCAGGAGCAACAGCAAGGACAGCAGCGGTGATGAACAACCCATGCTGGCATCAGGAAGGGCGCACCACGCCACGCACACCGATGGCCCTGCTGCTCATCTGCCCTCAGGCACCAGGGTGGCAGTTGCCCCCTGCACACATGCACATGCTGCTCCACCACCCGCCCTTCACCCAACAATTCAGCAGGGGATAACTGATGGAGGCAAGGGGTAGGACTGGCCACACCACCTGCAGGGCCGCCCAGGGAATTAAGGAAAAGCATGTTGAGGGTCCCTAGAGGCCCCTTCACTACTTTTTAAACCTTTGGACAGTTTACACTACCTTTAAAATTGCATTTGTGCATCATACCATTGCAAGACCACAAAGGAAGTTTCAACTTGACATTTATTGCACACTCACTTCAGGCCACTGCTGAGCCCCCAAAACACACAGCCTAGTAACATCAATATCACCTTCAAGGACTGCAGAGACAGATCAACAACTATATAAATAATATTGTGGAAACGTAGTTATTTGGGTGAGAAAAATACGACGCTAGAGGCTTTGGGATGAATATCTTGCATAAGCAAAAGTTCAGAAACTTGAAAATACAGTTAGCCTACAAATCTCAAATTTAACCCCATAACTGTAGCCCTTAGTCACCACACCTTCCAGCTCTCTCAACTCCCTTGCCTCTAGTTTACTCCTCTTCCCATTTCCTCCAACTTAACTTTGTAGGGGGAGCATTTTAGCAAGGCTATTTCAAAAGCATGAAAAGTCCAACTGATCCAATGAATTTACTCAGAAATTTACACTAACAGGGATGCTCTCAAAATTTTAAATTACTTAAGCTTTATATTAGCATAAAAAATTTAAAACCAAATGCTTAACAATAGGGTACTGTTGAATAATTTAACATACGTCCACATAAAATTAAACTATTAAAATCTGCTTTTCAAGAAATATTTAATAATGTAGGTAATATATGCTTATCTAACGTGGAATTTTATGTCACTGCTGCTAAAGCAAAACATCCTGTTCACTGGGTGAAAGACCTGCTTTATGTATGTACACTTCAGTGCAATTTTTAAAAAAATACTGTAATTATAATCTCAGAACTTCCGAATTTCAACAGATGCCAGTGTTCTCTCCTTTTCTCATATGGGAAAATTCCTTTGAAACTCATTTGAAGCTTGGACAGAAACTCCACAGCTGTATTCCTCAGGATCACTTTGCAGAATCTTCAAGACTCAGAGAGGAAGCTTCAATTCAACCTTTCAGAGAAGGCATTCCAGGCTCACATGATCTTATCAACCAAGAGAATGTTGGTGGCAATCACAGTGCTGAAAGGGGGACAAAAATTAGATGGCTCAGATGATTAAAAGCCCTGATTCGACTCAACTTCCCACTTCCAACTAAGCTGCACACATTACATCCAATTAAATTTCCCCCTTCCCCTCTACACATCAGAGGGTTAGTTCGGTTTCCATACTTTCAGCTGATTACATTGTTCATGGGGGAAAAGGAGCAACTAAACAGGACACACCAAATGAAAAGAGTATGATGATTCTCTAACAGTTTAGTTTTCAGTTTCCCAAACTTACCAAGAGTGTTGAAGCTGTTTCTTTACACAATCGTTATCCCGTAACGCCTACTTCTGCTGCTACCACTGGCTCACCTAGAAGGCAACCAAACCTTAAATAAGGTCAGTCAGTAAGAACCAACAATATTGTGTGATTGTGTGTGGCTTTGCTTATCACTGATGACTCATTTCCGCCAGTATTAACTATGAGAATTCAAAGCTTCTCTGTTAGCCCAGTTTTCTACTCTGAACCATGAACCCTGTCCACAATATTTGAGGAGTGTCTGACTTCTACTTAGAAGACCTGAACATCCCTATCTTCTGGATACATTTCTGTTTACCCACAGTAAGGTATAGTACTGCGACTATAATCTGGCTAAAATGGACTGATCATTTCCCTCATTCCAGAAACCTTTTTTATTAAATAATAATGTTGACAACAATAGGTCTTGCACATACTGCATGGATGTACCTGTTATCTGTCTTCTACTTTGTACTTAATTTGTGTTGTTTTGTTACAGGGGTCTAAGATCAGGGCTGTCACCATTTCATTAGATTTCTAGATCCCCTTTTCTGGCACTGTTTGCTATCTTTAGCTGTTTTTCACCCATGAATATAATCACCCAATCTATTTTCTTATCATAGTACTTGATTAAAAACTGAGTAAGGTGGCCAGGCGCGGTGGCTCACACCTGTAATCCCAGCACTTTGGGAGGCCGAGGCGGGCAGATCATGAGGTCAGGAGATCGAGACCATCCTGGCTAACACGGTGAAACCCCATCTCAACTAAAAATACAAAAAATTAGCCGGGTGTGGTGGCGGGCGCCTGTAGTCCCAGCTACTCGGGAGGCTAAGGCAGGAGAATGGCATGAACCTGGAAGGCGGCACTTGCAAGTGAGCCGAGATCGCGCCACTGCACTCCAGCCTGGGGGATACAGCAAGACTCCGTCTCAAAAAGAAAAAAACAAAAAACAAACCAAAAAAAACCCACTGAGTAAGGCAAATGCAATATGAAAATCCTTCAACAGTAATCTGAACCATCTACCACCACTCAACATCTCCAACAAAATTATCCCAAAATTACTCAGTCTACTCCCTTATTATATCTAATCATTCCACTTTTTATTAATATCCTATTTTATCCCATTTTTAGAACCTAGAGTTCCCTAATAGTACTGGTGTCAAATTGCAAAGCAAAAGATTTTTTTCTGGTCCCCATTTTTAATCTTTCCCGGCTTCAACTCTCATGTATTACATCTAGTTTTCCCTCTACAAAAAGTTGCATTCTCTTACCTGTGTTCAAGTTCACACCCACGAGCTGAACTGATTCTGAATGTTCTGCTTAAATTTTAACTAATGTTTCCTGAAGGTCAGAACCAGAATTCTGAGCAAGAACCTAAAGTAAACAAATTTAATTCTTGAGAAAACAGGAAGTAAGAATTGATAGTTTAAAAAAAAAAAAAAAAAGGCATGGCTGGGCACGGTGGCTCACGCCCATAATCACAGCACTTTGGGAGGCCCAGGCGGGTGGCTCGTAAGGTCAAGAGATTGAGACTATGCTGGCCAACATGGTGAAACCCCGTCTCTACTAAAAATACAAAAATTAGCTGGGCATTGTGGCACGTACCTGTAGTCCCAGCTAGTCAGGAGGCTGAGGCAGGAGAATTGCTTGAACCCGGGAGGTAGAGGTTGCCGTGAGCCGAGATCACGCCACTGCACTCCAGCTTGGGCGACAGAGTGAAACTCTGTCTCAAAAAAAAAAAAAAAAAAAAAGCGCAAAAGAAATCTCAGCTGGATGCAGTGGCTCACGCCTGTAATCCCAGTACTTTGGGAGGCCAAGGCAGGTGGATCACCTGAGGCCAGGAGTTTGAGACCATTCTGGCCAACATGGTGAAACCCCATCTCTACTAAAAATACAAAAAAATACCTAGCCAGGTGTGGTGGCAGGTGTCTGTAATTACAGCTACTGGGGAGGCTGAGGTTGCAGTGGGCCGAGATCACACCACTGCGCTCCAGCCTAGACAACAAAAGCAAAACTTGCAAAGTTCTCAAAAAACAACAACAAAAAAACCACAAAAATCTATTGCATGAAGACAGAACATTTATGTTCCCTTCAGAGAATAACCAGACACAAGTTACTGATCAACTCTCTCATCTACCCCAAAGCAAGCAGCAATACACCAGTCATAAACTATACTTCAAAATTAGTATATAATAGAAAACAATGGGCCGGGCGCGGTGGCTCAAGCCTGTAATCCCAGCACTTTGGGAGGCCGAGACGGGCGGATCACAAGGTCAGGAGATCGAGACCATCCTGGCTAACACGGCGAAACCCCGTCTCTACTAAAAACACAAAAAAATTAGCCGGGCGAGGTGGCGGCGCCTGTGGTCCCAGCTACTCGGGAGGCTGAGGCAGGAGAATAGCGGGAACCCGGGAGGCGGAGCTTGCAGTGAGCTGAGATCTGGCCACTGCACTCCAGCCTGGGCGACAGAGCGAGACTCCGTCTCAAAAAAAAAAAAAAAAAAATAGAAAACAATGATATCAGTTTAACTAAAACCAAAACAAAAAGCAAGTTTGTACTCAAGTATAACCCCTAATACTGCAAATATTAAACTACAGGTTCTCTCTTGCCATCTGAAACGTCAGCTATTTAGGCCTCCCAGAGAAACCAAATACATCTGGATGATGAGCGATACCTGTTCTAGAGTCAGGAAGAAAACTGATCAAACTTGCTTATCCAAAATCCACATTATCAATAAAGCCTACATTATCAAAAAGGTTTGATGAGCTGAATCTTCTGGAAGATTGACTGTTTAAGGCATGTACACTTTGGGAATAACGAGCAACGCATCAGCAAATGCTTGGACTCCAAGCTGTGCCCTGCCCTTAACACTGAGCTTATATTTAATCACACAGCCTGTTGGATGGGGAAAAAAAAATACTAAGAAAACTGTAGAACTAATTTTATGAATAACAAAATACACATATGAAAGCCATTACTTCCTTACAAATTCACTATGACCACATCAATTTAAGTGCTGCATTTGAAAGTCACAATACAAGCGACTAACATATCAAATAGGAGAATGGCTCAACCAGAATGGCTTCACTAGCCACTGGCAGCTCTTTCAACAGATCAGTATTAGTTCATTTATTTGTATTCACCTTTAATAATGATACGCCATGAAAAACTTTAGCATACCATCAGTCATTCTAAAGGGAAGACTGCTTTTGCATGGTGTCTGGCTGTGTAAACTATTGATAAAACAACACAGTATTCAGCCATGCTTTTCAGACCAGCAAAACAATATAATAGAATTGAAATATGGTAAGGACCTTACCATCATCAATAGCAATTTTGACAGCCCTCAAGCCATCCCTTACTGCATCTTTGATCTAACTGTGGGCTTATTTGGTCCTTTGATCAATAATGTGACAGAACGAGAGTTGTTAACACTTCTCAATAAAGGTGAACTCCCTATGTGTAGAAGAAACACGATTGGGCAAAGAGTGAAGAGAGAAGAGGAACTTACAGAGAATGACAAGCAGCATATTAATAAGGAACAAACTTGATCACATTAAACCAAATTATCTCTTTTTGAAAAATCACATATAAATGTGATTTCCCCCATCAATGGCTTCCCATTACTACACATAAACCTTCAAAATGTATATAAACAAAAATCTGATCCTGCATTTCAATTAATTTTTCTGTTAAAGACTTCCTGAACCAGGCACAGTGGCTCATGCCTGTAATCTCAGCACGTTGGGAGGCTGAGGGTGAAGGACAGCCTGAGCCCAGGAGTTTAAGACCTGCCTGGGCAACACAATACGACCCTGTTTTCTACAAAAATTACACAAAAAAATTAGCCATGCATGGTAGCACATGTCTGTGGTCCCATTTGCTCAGAGGCCTGAAGCAGGAGGATCACTTGAGCCCAGAAGATGAGGCTGCAGTGAGCTGTAATCTGATCACACTCCAGCCTGGGCAGGAGTGAGACCCTATCTCAAACAAACAAAATAAAAATAATTCATGAACTAAAAAGTTCTATTGCCTTCAAGAAGAAAATACACTTACCAATGTATACTCACATAAAAGTCCTGCATGTCCCAAGCAGTCAGGACTGAGGTCGTCAAAAGAATTCAGGGCCACCCCACCCCAAGCAAGAGTCAGCCTGAAATAGCATTTTAAGGGAGGTGGATAAGCAATGTTACCACTGAAGTTCAAAGAGAAGACAAGTAATTTTTAGGAAGGAATTTTTCAGAATTACACACAAAAATTACATTTTAAAATGTACTTTAACCTAAGCCTTTTAATTTGCCATCAACCAGCTGAAAATTAGTCTTTTAACCCTCCATTTAAACCACTCTCCCCAAGTCAGCAAATGAAATCTAAAAGTAGACAAGAGCTCTTTGTTGGCCAGGCATGGTGGTTCACACCTGTAATCCCGGCACTTTGGGAGGCTGAGGTGGGTGGATCACTTGAGGCCAGGAGTTTGAGACCAGTGTAGCCAACATGGCAAAACCCCATCTCTACTAAAAAAGCAAAACAAAACAATTCAGCGGGCATGGGGGCAGACACCCGTAATCCCAGCTACTTGGGAGGCTGAGGCACGAGAATCCTAGAACTCAGGAAGCGGAAGTTGCAGTGAACCAAGACCATACCACTGCACAACAGAGCAACACTGTCTCAAAAAATAATAATATTTTTAAAAAAACCTTTATTGTGGTGAGCTCTTTGGGAGGAGGTATACTGAATTCAGAGACAAAAAGTAAAATAATGTTTACAAGGGGCAAGAGGGAGGGAGAAATGGGGAGTAACTATTTAACGGGTATACAGTTTTAGTTTGTGATGATGAAAATAATTCTAAAGATGTACAGTGCTGACGGGGGCAAAATAATGTGAATATAGTTAATGCCAATTAATTATACAGTTGAAAAACCCAAAAATAAAGTATAAGGAGAAAGAAATAATCCCAATTAATTTGCAAAATAAGTAAAAGTCAAATTACTTGGATAAATCTGCTACTCATACCTCTCCATATTTCTCCTTTTAGCTCTGCGCAGAGCAACTACGCCTTCTCTTGAAAGAGCATCTGAGGAAAAGGGGTCAATTCCCTATAACAAAAATAAAAATTAGTTTCAACATCTTCCACCTTAAAAGTAAAAAGGATGATACATACTATTTAGTTTATACAATTAATTTTCATTCTCACCTTTTGATTAATAACAAATCCTTTATCTGAATCACCACAGACTTTCCTTTTCAGTTCTATTATTTAACTCTATCTTCAATGAATTTTCTTTCAGCTTTTATGAGTTTTTCTCTCTCTTCTGCACTCTTGTAAAAAAAAAAAGAGCCAGAATTCACTTCTCTATTAAGAAGGAAAAAAAAGTTACAGAAAGTAGGGAAACATTTATTTTTTGAGAAGAAAACAGCTTCTGAAACTGGATTAGTCCTAAGATTTAACAAACAGTTCACTGAGCTCCAATCCTGCCCCTTGCACATCTTCAGAGGCTGTTTCCTGTAACTCTCCCAAACCAATTTGAGGATTATTGTCCTTACAGTGGGAAATGAAGTTTCACAAAAAAGTATCTCGCCTAAAATACGAAGCTCCTCCATTTCACTGTTAAGGGGCTATAAACTTAAGTTTTTTCATATTCTAATGACATGTTACAAGTGAGGATGTATGCATCCTCCACCCTTTTTTTCTATCAGGATGCTATGCTCCGTGATCCAAAACAAGCCCTCTGATTAAGCTGTTCAAACACACAAAAAATTATGGTTATCGATCTCCAGATGGATGTGTGTTAAACACTGAACTGAGAAGGTATTGATAATTTTCATGCAGTCAGCTTTGTTTCTTGAATTACTTGAAGATCCTATGCTGTACAGAAAAGTCTGCAGCGATAGTCTCCCTGGTAGGCTGTCCAACTGTGATGACATCCTTTAAAAATATGTTTTCTAGCTGGGCGCGGTGGCTCAAGCCTGTAATCCCAGCACTTTGGGAGGCCGAGAAGGGCGGATCACGAGGTCACAAGATCAAGACCATCCTGGCTAATACGGTGAAACCCCATCTCTACAAAAAAATACAAAAAACTAGCCGGGCGAAGGGTGTCGAGGGGGCCCCTGTAATCCCAGCTACTTGGGAGGCTGAGGCAGGAGAATGGCGTGAACCCGGGAGGCGGAGCTTGCAGTAAGCTGATATCCAGCCACTGCAGTCCAGCCTGGGAGACAGAGCGAGACTCTGTCTCAAAAAAAAAAAAAAAAAAAAAAAGTTTTCTGCCAAGCGCCTGTAATGCCAGCACTTGGGGAGGCAGAGGGAGAGGACACCTTAATCCCAGGAATTCAAAACCAGCCTAGGCAGCATAGGGAGACTCCATTCTCCACTAAAAGAAGGGAAAAACGAACACAAACATGTTTTCTAACTAAGTGTTTGAAAAAAATTGTTTTTAATTCCTCTGCTGCTTCTCATTATGCTTTGTACCTGGCAATTCAATAAATGCCAAATGACTGATGTTGTTCACTTTTCAGAACAATTCTAACCATAAATACAACATAACATTCACCGTATTTCAGGAGAAAATATTACTAAAAGTAAAAACAATATTCACCAACCAATTTATCCAACTTATATCTGCAGGTAAATATATATTTTATATCCAAATATATTAAAAATTTTGCCAACAGTATATATTGTACAAAGCACCCTAAATTGCAAAACACATTTTATTCATTTTTTTTTTTGAGATAGAGTTTTGCTCGTCACCCAGGCTGGAGTGCAATGGTGTGGTCTTGGCTCACTGCAACCACCGCCTCCCAGGTTCAAGCAGTTCTCCTGCCTCAGCCTCCCAAGTAGCTGTGATTACATGCGTCTACCACCATGCCTGGCTAATTTTTGTAATTTTAGTAGAGACGGGGTTTCCCCATGGTGGCCAGGTTGGTCTTGAACTCCTGACCTCAGGTGATCCACCCACCTCGGCTTCCCGAAGTGCTGGGATTACATACAGGCGTTAGCCACCACGCCTGACCATTAGTATTTCAGTCTTCTACCACCTACCTTGTATCAGTTTCAGATTTATGTTTCATCTCCATGATCACAAAACCATGAAGAGATCAATAAGTTCATCTTTTCTTTTAATGGCCAAAATGGAGCCCACTACAGCCTGCAATAGAAGGATAACCATTAAGTAAATTCAATTTGTGGCAGCAGAAATATGTTGCTTTTCAGAAGGCTAAAGTAGACAGTTTCTTCATTTTACAATCTCTACACTGATTTGTCTTCTTCTATAAGCAGATAGAATACATTATATATAAACAGCTGTTACCTTTCTGAAATCTCAATCTGTAATTCACAAACATTAACATTCCTTAATATTAACATTCCTCCTGGTGTTTCATTAAAAATACTGGTAACTGGAAGCTTTCTAATAACAAAATCTCCACTTTATAATCCTTTTAATGAAAGCTCCAATTTTATAACCTGGTTAGGTATACTATTATTTGAATTTCCTCATTTTACTTTTTAGAGACACAGATTAGGTATCACTGTCACAAAAATGAACCTACATAGCACCTTGTAATTGAAATTGGTAATTATATTCACGTTTCTACTATCAGAGATTTTCTATATAGGTGTACCGTAACAGACACACACAAAATTTAATATATATCTCTGTTAAGACATCTGCAAATTCAGCGTGAACTTTGGTAAGAAGAGATGTTCTGGCCACATCTTTAAGTGTTTCCTTGTCCATCTCTCTGCTTACTTTGACTTCTTCCAAAAACTGAAGGGCCTTTTCCTTCACAACTTCAAATCCTTCAGTGATTATTCTGGGATGAAGGTCCTACAATAAACACACAATAACACTCCCATCTTCAATTAGGTGCAACTATAGTTCATGATAAAGTTCAGATAATTCTTGGAGGGATATTCTGAATCATCATACCTTTGAACACGCAGTAACATAATGTGCTGGCTTTCTGAATACATTTAAAAGGATAAATATTCCTTTCAATGCAGAGGAGAAGAACAGGCAATGCTCTAGCACAGGGTCAAAGCCAAGGGAACTATAAAGCACACTTGGGTGTTCACTGTGCAGACCACCCCGAATCATGCCAAAACCGACAGTGTCCCAACAACTCGCAGATGGTAGTGTTATTCTATTTTTTCTATAGGTAATCTCAAACTAATTCACATAATTTACTAATAAAAATAAAGACTGCTCTCTTCTGCCAGGAAATTCTGACAATAGATTCATAGTCCTTGAGGTTTGTTTTAAACCTTGGAACTAGTCAGGGCTAAAAAAGTGGAATTTATCCAAATGTAAGCTTTTAGTTGGCTTTTTCCTAACAAATAAACATGACTAGTCCTAAACATCCCATTTTAAAATCTCAATTATTAATTTACACTAAAGACAGATACAAATCACATAGGCAATTCAGCTTGATTATAAAATTATTTTCAGGCCAAAGAAGGTTCCATAACCTGTCCAAGATCACAATTAATTTATTTTAGACCAGGACGAAGACCCAGATTTAAGCCCCCTAATTCTACTCTATGGTCTCAGCTAGTATTAACAACACATCAATTTGTATAAATAAATATCTGACATAGCCTATATACAATGAAATATTACAGAAACAAGCTGTGCGCCGGGCGCGGTGGCTCATGCCTATAATCCCAGCACTTTGGGAGGCCAAGATGGGTGGATCACCCGAGGTCAAGAGTTTTGAGCCAGCCTGACCAACGTGGAGAAACCCCATCTCTACCAAAAATACAAAATTAGCTGGGCGTGGTGGCGCATGCCTGTAATCCCAGCTACTTGGGAGGCTGAGGCTGGGAACTGCTTGAACCCAGGAGGCGGTGGTTGCGGTGAGCCGAGATCACGCCATTGCACTCCAGCCTGGGCAACAAGAGTGAAACCCCATCTCGAAAAACAAAACAAAACAAAAAACAGTTGTGCATACTTCAGAAATGTAGAGATCCGCCTGTTTCAGTAGCTCTCCAATGATTAGGACATTGGAAGTCGTACCATCCCCAGTTATACAATCCTGGGCTGTTGCTACCTTTGCTATTAAGGAAGCTGTTGGGTGTTGAATTTGCTGAAAGTAGAAAAAGAATGAATCACTTAAAACAATATGAAGCAGTCTAAATATACCACAAATGAAATGCATGAAGGGCCTCTTTAAGTGCTATCTACTAGAAAAATCTACCCAAGAGTTTGGCTACAAATTGCTAAGATTAAAAAGTCACAATTAGCTATCATGCACATGCAATTATAATGATCAAAACATTTTCATGTGTAATTTATTTCCCAGGTTATCTCTACTTTACAGATGAGGAAGCTTGAGGCTCAGTAAAAGCTGACTCAAGATGACACAGCTAACAGTTAACAGTAACACATAATTTTACATCCTTGCCTCTTTACGGCAAGTATAGGGCTCTAGTGAGAATAAGCCAGGTATCTCCTAAAATGAAAGCTCAGCAGCCTCCACTGTTACTCTGCAATGATCAAATAATTTAAAAGGAAAGGTCAGGTGCGGTAGCTCATGCCTGTAATCCCAGCACTTCGGGAGGCCACTGCAGGTGGATCCCTTGAACTCAGGAATTTGAAACCGGCCTGCGCTATGTGGCAAAATCCTGTCTCTTAAAAAAAAAAAACAAAAAAAACCCAAAAAACGGAAAACATTGTATTTTAGAGGTAAAATGGCATGTCTCCAGTTTAACTTCAAATGATTCAGGGGAAAAATAGAAAAGAAATGGAGCAACATGTAAACAATTGGTGAATCTAGGTAAAGGGTACACACATTATAATCACCATCTTTGTAGGTTTATAATTTTTTCAAAGAAAACTGAAATACAAACTTCTGGAGACTGGAAAGAGGTTCCAGTGGGAGGGGACTTCTAAGGTGGTAGCAACAATTTATTTCCTTTTTTTTTTTTTTTTTTGAGACGGAGTCTCGCTCTGTGGCCCAGGCTGGAGTGCAGAGGCCAGATCTCAGCTCACTGCAAGCTCCGCCTCCCAGGATTACGCCATTCTCCTGCCTCAGCCTCCTGAGTAACTGGGACTACAGGCGCCCGCCACCTTGCCCGGCTAGTTTTTTGTATTTTTTAGTAGAGACGGGGTTTCACCGTGTTAGCCAGGATGGTCTTGATCTCCTGACCTCGTGATCCGCCCGTCTCAGCCTCCCAAAGTGCTGGGATTATAGGCTTGAGCCACCGCACCCAGCAACAATTTATTTCTTAACTACAGTGGTGGTTGTGTGTGTCCACTTTATAATTATTTCCTAAATTGTAAATGTTCAATGTGCTTCTCTCTACTTATGCTGTATTTCTCACACACTAAAACCCAAATAATTTTTTTTTTTTTCATGTCAGTCTCACTCTGTTGCCTAGGCTGGAGAGTGCAGTGGCACAATCTTGGCTCACTGAAACCTCAGCCTCCTAGGTTCAAGCGATCAATTCTCCTGCCTCAGACTCTGGAGGAGCTGAGACTACAGGCGTGCAGAACCATGCCCGACTAATTTTTGTATTTTTAGTAGAGACAGAGTTTCACCATGTTGGCCAGGGCTGATTGTGAACTCCTGGCCTCAACTGATCCACCTACCTCGGCCTTCCAAAGTGCTGAGATTACAAGCATGAGCCACAGCACCCAGCCCCCAAACAATTCTGATGTCAAATTTAACTATGGTTCCACTTTTTTGCTAATGCAGGCAACCATTGAACCGACTAAAAAAAAAAAAAAAAACGATACCTCCTAGGTTAGCAAGTCTTTGCTAAACGTATTTCATCTGGATGTTGATGGCATGGTATACTACTAGCAAAACACTAATTATTATTCTGTACTCAAACCAGCAGGAAATCATTTCCTTTTCTGGTATTTGAACTGCGAAGTTTTGGGAATTTAGGGATGAGTAAAACACATACTCCCATCAATAATCTCATATTCTCCATCTCTAAGACTTTAAAAATGTTAAAGCAAAGAGATTTCTCTCTCCTCCAGTTGGAGATGGAGATAAGACATTAACAGAAAAATTGCTGTTTTAAAAAGAAAAACCGGCCCGATGCGGTGGCTCACGCCTGGTAATCCCAGCACTTTGGGAGGTTGATTCAGGCGGATCACCTGAAGTCATGAGTTCAAGACCGGCCTGGTCAACATGGTGAAATCCCATCTCTATAAAGAATACAAAAATTAGCTGGGTGTGGTGGAGGGAGCCTGTAATCCCAGCTACTTGGGAAGCTGAGACAGGAGAATCGCTTGAACCCAGGAGGTGGAGGTTGCAGTGAGCCACTGGACTCCAGGTTGGGCGACAGTGAGACTCTGTCTTTAAAAAAAAAAAAAAAAAAGCCATAAAGAGAAAAACCATCCTCATGCATTTTGACCATGTGATTGTGTCAACCACCCTTAATTTTTCAAATTTTATTATAATTAATGTACAATTACAATCCTTTAGCCCAGACTGTGAATGGCAAAAAAGCAGGGATTCAAAGACAGGGCTGTCAGACTCCAGGCACTGTCAGTACTATTACTGATTACATGTCACTTCTGAATGTTCTCCTTCCTTGAAAATGAACATGGTAAATCTTTCTACGAAGCAAAAGTTCTATGGAAAATCAAAACATGTCAGACCTAGCAGAGCACCTCTCACCATTTCGTGAAGCAGCACACTGTGCAGGAACATGCCTGACTAATTTTTGTATTTTTAGTAGAGACCGAGTTTCACCGTGTTGGCCAGGGCTGGTCGTCAACTCCTGCGTCTTTAGTAAGCCTGATGTCTCCAACGCGAGAAACAAGCCTGTTTAAGGGACAGAAATGAATCAAATTGTGACAAAAACGAAACTAATTAAAACGAAAACTAAATTAAAAAGTCCCATTAGAAAACGGGTTTTTTCGTCCGGCCGGGTGCGGTGGCTCACGCCTGTAAATCCCGGCACTTTGGGAGACCGAGGCGGGTGGATCACGAGGTCAGGATACCGAGACCATCTTGGCTAACACGGTGAAACCCCGTCTCTACTAAAAATACAAAAAAAAAAAAATTAGCCGGGCGTGGTGGCGGGCGCCTGTAGTCCCAGTTACTCGCGAGGCTGAGGCAGGAAAATGAGGTAAACCCGGGAGGCGGAGCTTGCAGTGAGCCGAGATCGTGCCACTGCACTCCACCCTGCCTGACAGAGCGAGACTCCGTGTCAAAAAACAAAAACAAAAAACAAAACCAAAAAAACAAAAAGCGGGCTTTTCCCAGATCTCAGGGAGCCGGGGATATGGAGCTAGTTATCAACGAAAACTAAAAAGTCCCTTTAGAAAACGGGCTTTTCCCAGATCTTAGGGAGCCGAGGATATGGAACTAGTTATCTACCGCAGGCTGGAGGGCGGGTGTAGTGCCCACCCCGTCCCCGCAGAGATTGTGCAGAGTCCTCAGGGTGCCTGGAAGTCCCAGAAAGCGGGAAACGCCGCGCACTAGAGCCGCTTTTTTCTCCATGGAGACGGCATCGACGCAGAAAGAAATGGCCGCGTGGTGGGGCTTAGCAGGGAAGAGGACCGGCCCGGGAGGACGCGCGGAAAGGAGGCTGCGGAGCCCCGAGGCGGCGGGCTCGCGTCCGCGGCCCAGGGCCCAGCGCGCGGTGCCCGCCCAGCCCTCCTGCCAGCCCCGCCTTACATCTTGATGGTGCCTTTGGGCCCCAGGTTGGTCCTCAGCACGTCCTGCAGACCCCGCGCCGCGCTGACGGTGACTGCCAGCGCTGCCTGCGCTCGAGCCACCTCTGTCTTGGGGTTCACGGTCTTCGCCGCCGCCACAGCTGCTGCAGAGGAGAAAAAGAAAGCCATGCGGCGCGCGGAGAGCTCAGAACCCGCGCGCCGTGCCCAGGAGGCACTATGCGGTTATTCCGGAAAAGTTGGCGCGCCCGGCCCGCCCCTAGCGTGCCCGCGCGCCGCCGCCATTGGGCCACGGCCCGTGCGGCGCACGCTCATTGGTTCGCGGCTGCATGGTGCCTGCGGTCCCACCCCTCGCGCCGCCGCAGTGACCGCGACGTTATTGCGCAAGGCAGCAACCTGTTCCCAGCAGTCAGTGCTACTAGGTTCCGGCGTTGCGGCTCAGTGGGGCACAGCTCTGCGGACCCAGGAGTTCAGGATGCAGGCGGGGCTTGTGCTCCGCGCGGGGCAGGGCGTATGGTGGGCCTCCTCCCGCCCCTACTCGCGCGTTTTGCTCCTCAGTCTCCTTCTCTTGCTGCTTTCATGGCTTTCATTGGAGCTTTCTGGACCTTGTGCTTGACGGTACTGCAGGTGCCGTGGGGACACACAAGCTAGTCTGAGAAGCACCCTCCCCCAGGATCATGCGGTGCTGTAAGGACTAGCAAAGATGAAGATAGAATGCAAGGTAGAAAGTGCTGGATGCCTTTAGAAAGCTGCAGGACTGGTGCGATGGGAGTTGAGTCGTAAGAACCTGTCTGTCCGTAGGACTCAGGATGCTGCTGAGGCCCTGGGCTTCCATGGTAGATTTGAAAACTCACCCTTGTAGAGTCATGGTGTCCAGCCTTTGAGAGGACTGCCTTTTAAGGTAAATTTCCAAAGAGCTACACAATTGTTTCCAGTATCCAGTGCCCGCCAAATACCAGGGATTCAGTAACACGTGATATTTTACTTTATTATTTTTTTTCTTTTTGCAGACATAGGCCTCACTCTGTTGCCCAGGGTGGTCTCAAATTCCTGAGCTCAAGCGATGCTCCTGCGCTTAAGTGATCCTCCCGCCTCGGCCTCCCAAAGTGCTGGGGTTACAGGTGTGAGCCACCGTGCCCGGCTGGTGTTTTATTTTTAATAGATAAGGGAAATTGTTCTGAATTCAAAAGGCATAAAAGGGCATGTGGAAATTAAATCATTCTCCTGCCTCTAGTTCAACACTAGAGACAAACACGGTTACCCCTGGATACTCGATGAATTTTCGGAATGCTTTCTGAATTTATAAACTTATATATGAATATAATCATTTCCCCACACAAATCGCAATTCCTAATACACACTGTGGGGTGTGTTATACTTTAAGTGTCTTGGAGAGTGTGCAATATCAAGATGAACGGGAAGTCCTCGTTAACAGCTGCGGGATGTTCTTTGTAAGAATTACAAAACTAGGGGCCGGGGCACGGTGGCTCACAACTAATCCCGACAATTTGGGAGGCCAAGGGGGGCGGATCACTTGTGCCTGGGAGTTCAAGACCAGCCTGGGCAACACAGTGAGACCCCATCTATACAAAAAGTACAAAAATTAGCTGGGCATGGTGGTGCACGCCCATGGTCCCAGCTACTCGAGAGGCTGAGGTGGGAGGATTGCCGGAATCTAGGAGGCGGAGGTTGCAGTCTGCTATGGTATTGCCACTGCACTCCAGCCTGGGCGACAGAGCCGACCCTGTCTCAAAAAGAATGACACAATTAACCGGTCACCTACTGACTGATGTTTAAGTTGTTCCCAATCTGCTATTCAGGCTGCAGTGAATATTGGTATATGATGCTTTTAGGAGGGTTTGTGTATTTGAGAATCACAAAAACGTATATGTATATGTGACTAGAAGCACTGCACAATAGAAGACTAGTTATTAGTTCCATAGGTATTACATGGTGTGCATGCAGATTTATTATAACTGCTGTTAAAAATGTTATGAGGAGACCAGGCATGGTGGCCCCCGCTTGTAATCCCGGCACTTTGGGAAGCTGAGGTGGGCAGATCACTTGAAGTCAGGAGGTCAAGACCATCCTGGCCAACATGGTGAAACCCTGTCTCTGTAAAAATACAAACATTAGCCCGACCAACATGGTGAAACACCGTCTCTGTAAAAATACAAAAATTAGCCTGGCATGGTGGTGTGCATCTGTGATCCAAGCTACTCAGAGGCTGAGGCATGAGAATTGCATGAACTTGGGAAGGAGAGGTTGTAGTGAGCTAAGATGATGCCACTGCACTCCAGCTTAGGTGACAGAGCCAGACTCTGTCTCAAAGAAGCAAAAACAAAAAAAAAGGCCGAGCGTGGTGGCTCATGCCTGTAATCCCAGCACTTTGGGAGACCGAGGCGGGTGGATCACGAGATCAGGAGATCAAGACCATCCTGGCTAACGCAGTGAAACCCCATCTCTACTAAAAAATTAAAAAAAAAAAAAAAAAAAAAATTAGCTGGGCGTAATGGTGGGCGCCTGTAGTCCCAGCTACTCGGGAGCCTGAGGCAGGAGAATGGTGTGAACCTGGGAGGTGGAGCTTGCAGTGAGCCGAAAAGAAAAAAAAAAAAGGGCCGGGCACGGTGGCTCGCACCTGCAATCCCAACACTTTGTGAGGCTGAGGCAGGCAGATGATTTGAGGTCAGGAGTTCAAGACCAGCCTGGCCAACATGGTGAAACCCCATCTCTACCAAAAATACAAAAAGCCAGGTGTGGTGGTGCACACCTGTAGTCCCAGCTACTTGGGAGGCTGAGACAGGAGAATCGCTTAAATTCTGTAGAGAGAGGTTGCAGTGAGCCAAGATCATGTTACTGCACTCCAGCCTGGGCGACAGAGTGAGACTCCTCAAAAAAAAAAAAAAAAAAAAGGCCGGGCATGGTGGTTCACACCTGTAATCCCAGTACTTTGGGAGGCTGAGGTGGGTGGATCACCTGAGATCAGGAGTTCCAGACCAGCCTGGCCAATGTGGTGAAACCTGTCTCTACTAAAAATACAAAAGTTAGCCTGGCATGGTGGCGGCCACCTGTAATCCCAGCTACTCAGGAGGCTGAGGCAGGAGAATCGTTTGAACCCGGGAGTCGGAGGTTACAGTGAGCCGAGATCACACCATTGCACTCCAGCCTGGGCGACAAGAGTGAGACTTGTCGCCCAGGTGACACGATGGAAGTATATTAAATACATAAATAGGTGTTCTTGATAAGGGGAAAAAACATTTTAAATAACATGTATAAGAAGTTCTCACTTTTGAAACATTTCCCATGGGTCTATACAGGGAGGGGAACATCACTCACTGGGGCCTGTCGGGGTGGGGGACAAGGGGAGGGAGAGCATTAGGACAAATACCTAATGCAAGCGGGGTTTAAAACCTAGAGGATGGGTTGATGGGTGCAGCAAATCACTATGGCATGTGTATACCTATGTAACAAACCTGCACATTCTGCACATGTATCCCCAAACTTAAAGCAAAAAAAAAAAAGCCTGGTGTGGTGGCGCACACCTGTAATCCCAGCTACTTAGGTGGCTGAGGCAGAATTGCTTGAACCCAGTAGGCAGAGGTTGCAGTGAGCCAAAATCGCAGCACTGCATTCCCAGCCTGGGCAACAGGGTGAGACCCTGTCTCAAAAATAAAAACAAAAATAATTTGTAAAACACAGTGAGAAGAATTCCCATACTCTACACACAGATCCTCCAAATGTAAACATCATATTTAATCCTATAATAAGAAATTAACATTGATGCATGATCCAATCTATAGATTTCATTCAAATTTTGCTAATTATATCATGATTGTTCTATCTCTGGCTCTGGATTCTATTTATCCAGAATTATGCTTCGCATTTAGTTGTCATGTCTGCATGTTTTTAATGATCTTGGCATTGCTTTTAGTACTGGCCAGTTATTTTACAGAATGTCCCTTACTTTAGGGTTATTTGATGTTTCCTTATGATTTTTTTTTTTTAAATTTTTTTGAGACAGAGTCTCGCCCTTTTGCCCAGGCTGGAGTGCAGTGGCACAATCTCTGCTCACTGCAGCATCTACCTCGTGGGTTCAAGTGATTCTCCTGCCTCAGCCTCCAGAGTACCTGGGATTACGGGTGCCCACCACCACTCCTGGCTAATTTTTGTATTTTTAGTAGAGATGGGGTTTCACCATTTTGGCCAGGCTGGTCTCTAACTCCTGACCTCAGGTGATCTGCCCGCCTTGGCCTCCCAAAATTCTGGGATTACAGGCATGAGCCACTGTGCCTGGCCTGACGTTTCCTTATGTTTAAATGCAGGTTGTGGCTGGTTGCAGTGGCTCACGCCTATAATCCCAGGACCCGCTGAGATGGGTGGATCACATGGTCAAGAGATTGAGACCATCCTGGCCAACATGGTAAAACCCTGTCTCTACTAAAAATATAAAAAATTAGCTGGGTATGGTGGCACGTGCCTGTAATCCCAGCTACTCAGGAGGCTGAGACAGGAGAATCACTTGAACCTGGGAGGCAGACGTTGCAGTGAGCCAAGATCGCACAACTGCACTCCAGCCTGGGCAACAGAGCGAGATTCCGTCTCAAAAAAAAAAGCAGATTATTCATATTTGGCAAGAACACCAGAGAAATTATGTGGCCTTTTCAAGGCATCAGAGGAAGAGTCACATGATGTCAGTTTTTCCCATTCCGCTATTTTTATTAGAGACAGGGTTTTGCCATGTTGTCCCAGCTGGCCTCCAACTCCTGGCCTCCCAAAGTGCTGGGATTACAGGCATGAGCCACTGTGCCCAGCGCACTCACATGCTTCTGATGTCTTTCCATGTCCAAATTTTCTCTTCTTACAAGGACACTGATCAGATTAGATTAGGGCTCACTCTAAAGACCTCATTTTAACATAATCATCTCTTTAAAGACCTTGTCTCCAGGACGGGTGAGGTGGCTCATACCTGTAATCTCAGCACTTTGGGACACTGAGGCAGGCAGATGACGAGGTCAAGAGATCAAGACCATTCTGGCCAACATGGTGAAACTCCATCTATACTAAAAATACAAAAATTAGCTGGGCATGGTGGTGGGCACCTGTAGTCCCAGCTACTCAGGAGGCTGAGGCAGGAGAATCGCTTGAACCCAAGAGGTGGAGGTTGCAGTGAGCTGAGATCGCACCACTGCACTCCAGCCTGGCAACAGAGCAAGACTCGGTCTCAAACAAACGAACATACAAATGAAAACCTTGTCACCAAATATAGTCACATTCTGAGGTACTGGGGGTTAAGACTTCAAGGTGTGGACTTTGGGGGAGCACAGTTCAGCCCATAACAAAGGTGTCCCTTTCTTTTTTCTTTCTTTAATCCATTATAGAACGAGCTGTATTCTCCTGGACTGATCATTTGCAAGGGTCTTCTCTGAAGGAAAGGGACCAGAGTAGTTTTCCAAGCTTCTCAATGCAAATGAAGATTTTCAGCTGCCACAGTCAGACTGTGTCATTCAATGTGGCTCTTGGTTTTTATGTAGCTCTGCCTCCTTTGCTGTGTACTATTTTTTGTTTTGTTTTGTTTATTTTTATTTTTGTTGTTTCTTTGCACTGTTCTAAACTGGCCCTTTAGGGCTTCTCCTCCCAGTCCAGTACTCCCTAGCATCACCACCAATCACTGCACATAGGGCACACAGCCCCTGCATTTCCTGTGAGCTCTTCATCTACTTTCTTCCTTTTTTTTTCTGGAGTGCAGTCAGTGGTGCAATCTCAGCTCATTGCAACCTCCACCTCCTGGATTCAAGGGATTCTTGTGCCTCAGCCTCCCGAGTAGCTGGGATTACAGTTGTGAGCCACTGTGCCCGGCTTTTTTGGTATTTTTTTTGTAGAGATGGGGTTTTGCTATGTCAC